AACAGGCCATCACATGAAGAGGAAGAATGGCCTGTGGGTTTGCCAAGAATATCGGCCGCCGCCCGTCAAGCACAGCGTCGTCGATTGGATGAAAGCGAATGCGCGCACTGGGCGGCAATGCGAGACTTACCGAGCTGACCGCGGACATGCGGCGCTTGTTCCAAACGACGAGATGGCCATCATCAAAGAATGGGTCATCCACCAAAGCCACAATATACCGGTTGTTCATGGTCAGTTCTGGCGTTGAAATTGCGCGATGGTGGTTTCACATAACGGCGATGAACATGGCAGAAGCTACTGGCGAAGGAGCGCAGGGACAAGATCACCCCAAGCGGCGAGACGACATTGCGACGACCGCGCCAAAGATTGTCGCCCAAGGCGGGCCAGACGTGGCCAGATGGGACGACGCCGCCGAGGCAGCGACGTGGAGGCCCCCCCTGTCCCTGGGGTGGGCTTGCAACCTCTGGCCCGCGCAGCTTGCGCGGCCTGGCGCGGGGCCGCGGCCCCGCAGAACGTGGTCTGCCCTGGGGGCGGCAGCGAGGTGGAGACTCGCCTTGTCTCTAGAGTGGGCTCGCGACCTCTCGAGGCCCGCGCGGGCGGGGGGCACGGCGGCGGCGTCGACCGCGCTGCCCTCCATCTCGAGTCCTCGACCCCCTGTCCTCCGCCTCCTCCTTCCCCGCCATCTGTCGGGAGGACTGGAGGCCCAAAGAAGCGCAGCGCCCACGCCACGGCCAAGACGACAACACAGCAAAGAAGAGAGGAGGAGAAGAAAGGAGCAGCGGGAGTCGGAGGAGGACGACGAGGGCGACGACGACGACGAGGGACAGCAATTGCAGTGGTCGTGAGCCAGGAAAAAGCGCGATCAGCCAGTCCACGGAACGTTCCCGGCGTTGCTCAGGTGAATATTTACCAAAGGGTCCTCAGCTTCCGCGGCCCTTCCGCGGAGCCTGTCGCGGTCCGAGAGCACAGGAGTTCGCCGGAGCCCTCTCCGAGATGGCCTAGACATTCGAATCGCCTTCTCTTCCTACTCTTCTTTCTCTGCTTCGTGATCATCAGCACCGGCATCATCAGCGCCATCGTTATCGTCATAGTTAACCGTCAATTTTTAGCATCCGCATTTGCACGACCATCATTATCAGCATCCTCAGCATCAGCACCACCAGCATAATCACTATCATCAGCAACATCTTGGTCTTGGAGCCATCAAGTGTTGAGCCTCACGGGTGGCCAGATCCTGCCCATGAGGGCCCAGGCGGCTTTGCGTTCTGGACACTGGGCCCCTGGGCCTTGCACCACCGCAGTTCTCGGCTTGATCCGCCCCGCCAAAGACGACCCCCAGTTTAGGCTTCGGCAGGAAGCATGCGTCGCTTTGAAAGAAGTGTGGGGAGACCTAGTTATCATCAAAGGATGCAGGCGGCCCACTGTTGGGGGTTGTCAGCGCGCGCCCTTTCGGCATCCCCACAGACGGTTAAAAAAGTGCGCGGGCCTATGGCGGCCGCAAACGCTATCCTCCTCGACTTGGGCGTGGACCCCAAGACCCCAGTGCATTGGATTGCCACTGAGGGCGTGGAGATGAGGCAAGGGCGTGGAGATGAGGCTCCAGAGTCGATTTTACATTTACTGTTCCGTCGGTTTTTGAAGAAGCTTGAAAAAAAAGAGGCCTTTGAGGCCGCTGGTATGGTTCGCAACAGTGTGACTGCTGACTGTTGGATTGAAGATAGGCTCCAGCAGGCTGGGCACGACTCCGCGACAGGCGGCCGGTGCCCTCGATGCGGGCTTGAGCCCGAGACTGCTGCTCACCGTTATTGGGAATGCCGATGCAACAAGGACATCAGCGATGGCGCGATCGAGCGATCGGAGTCGTTGGTCGTCGAGGTTCAGCACTCAATCTTCCCCTGCTTTTTGGCACCGTGGCTTACCGTTTCTCCAGTGTGCTGTTGGGCGCATTCCTGAGCCTGTTGAGTGGGTTTGGGAATGGGGGAGATTGCGAGATGGTGTTCGGATTCGGGGAGGAGCCTGTGGGATCGATGGCTCTGGAGGTAGATGCATGAAAGATTGGAGGTTTCGCCGATGTGGGTGGTCAATCGTACACCAAGGTGCGGACCACCAGTTTAGGCTTCGGCAGGAAGACTTCGTCGCTTTGAAAGAAGTGTGGGGAGACCTAGTTATCATCAAAGGATGCAGGTGGCCCAATGTTGGGGGTTGTCACCGCGCGCCCTTTCGGCATCCCCACAGACGGTTAAAAAAGTGCGCGGGCCTATGGCGGCCGCAAACGCTATCCTCCTCGACTTGGGCGTGGACCCCAAGACCCCAGTGCATTGGATTGCCACTGAGGGCGTGGAGATGAGGCAAGGGCGTGGAGATGAGGCTCCAGAGTCGATTTTACATTTACTGTTCCGTCGGTTTTTGAAGAAGCTTGAAAAAGAAGAGGCCTTTGAGGCCGCTGGTATGGTTCGCAACAGTGTGACTGCTGACTGTTGGATTGAAGATAGGCTCCAGCAGGCTGGGCACGACTCCGCGACAGGCGGCCGGTGCCCTCGATGCGGGCTTGAGCCCGAGACTGCTGCTCACCGTTATTGGGAATGCCGATGCAACAAGGACATCAGCGATGGCGCGATCGAGCGATCGGAGTCGTTGGTCGTCGAGGTTCAGCACCCAATCTTCCCCTGCTTTTTGGCACCGTGGCTTGCCGTTTCTCCAGTGTGCTGTTGGGCGCATTCCTGAGCCTGTTGAGTGGGTTTGGGAATGGGGGAGATTGCGAGATGGTGTTCGGATTCGGGGAGGAGCCTGTGGGATCGATGGCTCTGGAGGTAGATGCATGAAAGATTGGAGGTTTCGCCGATGTGGATGGTCAATCGTACACCAAGGTGCGGACCACCAGTTTGACGGCATAGTGTGTGGCACGTTGCCAACTAAAGTGCAGACCGCTGGCAGGGCCAAGCTTTCTGCCCTGATTCAGCTGCTGACACGCTCGTGGGGTCCCGTCCTGGTGTTTGTGGCAGTCTTGTTGTGGTGAATGGTGTACGTAAGCCTACCATATGCAAACGTAAATCGTCGATGCTGCACCTTTGGAAGATCTGCCACGAGACCCTTGGGGCCCATGGTGTACCGGTTGCAATTCGATGGACCAAACGCCACCCCTCCCAATCCAAGGCCTATGATACATGTTTCACGGAATCCGAATAATATCTTAACACAAGTGCTGCTTTATTCGCCAATAATGCGGCCGATCGTGGACAGGTACCAGAAGAACAGGCTCAACGCACCGCGTTGGCTGATGAACGGGCTCTAAAGGTGTTATGCCGTCTCCTCGCTGTTCAGAAGGAAGTTGTGCTTGCTGGTGACAAAGAGCTCGCCACCCGTGTGAGCCCCAAGCCACGCTCGATGATCCGCTCGGTCGATGTTCGACTGGACAAACCCAGTGGCATGGGCCAGTGCTGTGTGGTCAAGTCTTACACGTTGAAGTGTAAGCATTGTTGCAAGCATTCTGGCCGACGTGGGGGGCTAGCGGAACCGAGATTGCCAAGAGAATTCACGCACCCCCCCGCGGCCAGCGGTCGCCATTCGGCTGCGGAGGGACGAGGAGGAGCTTGGCCCCGATGATCTGGGACCTCCTGAAGGCGGCGTGGGAGGGGGAACCCATCATCCTCTCGCGGAGCACCGCTCCCTCTCACCAGCTCGCCTCCATCCGATGGGGCTCTGGTTTGTGAGTGTTGCGGGAGGCGCTGCGTTGAGTTCCCGCAGAATGTGCGTTTTGAGTGTGTCCCCCCCACGAAAGTTGGGAAGGATGTGCTGAGCAGATTGGAGCGAGGTCTGCCGCCCAAATCGGGCGGTACGTTCCTTGACCTCTGAGTGTGTTGTCGTGCCCCGCCCCGCGGCAGGTCACCACGAGTGGCTGGTAAAGGTGAAGGTAAAGGTCCTCCTCCCCTCCTCCTCCTCCTCCTCCTCCTCCTCTTCCTCCTCCTCTTCCTCCTCCTCCTTCTCCTTCTCCTCCTCCTCCTCCTCCTCCAACTCTTCTCCCTCCTCCTCCTCCTCCTCCTCCTCCTCCTCCTCCTCCTCCTCCTCCTCCTCCTCCTCCTGGGTCAACTGAGGCCACGCCCATTCGGCGAGTTCGTCATCGACGCCACCCTCGGGGGCTTGGTCGTGGTTGATGACGATCGCGCCGAGTAGGGGTGGCCTCCTGACCCGTCCTCGTGCGGCACTCCCTTTGGGAGGTGCCCGGGTTTCTTCTTTCGCGTCGGGCGTATGAGTCTGCTTGCGTAGCCAGCGCACTCTTGCGGCCCCGTCTGGACAAAACGCCTCCTCCTCCTCCTCCTCCTCCGCCTCCGCCTCCGCCTCCGCCTCCGCCTCCGCCTCCGCCTCCGCCTCCTCCTCCCTCCCCCCAGACATCCGGCGGCTCGAAGCAAATCGAGACGGCTGGTGTTTTACACTACCGCACTCTTCGGCCTCCAGAGGCGGTTGTTAGGCTCCAGGGTCGTGTCAACTAAGAGCGAGTCGCTGGACGCCTGGGTCGGATCCTCCCGCCTCCCGCTCTTCCGCGCGCCAGCACCAGCCCCGTCGCCCCTCCCACCCTCTTGCCCCGCTCCACTGCCTCCGTCGCTCTCCTCTCCTCCTGCCTCCGCCCCTCTTTTTTCCTTGCCTCCTGGAGGCTTCTCCCGCCTCCATCCTCCCTCCGGCATGCCCTGCTCTGCTTTCCTCTCCTCTTCTCCTGGAGGTTTCTCCCTATCCATCCTCCCTCCTCCTGGGCCTCCTCCGACTTCCCCTTGGAGGCTTCTCCAGCCTCCATCCTCCCGTCCTCCCCCCGACCTCCATCCTCTCCTCCTGCTCTGTTCTCCTCTCTTCCCGTTGCGGCCCTGTTTTCACTCCGTGCACCTCGCAGGGAGAGAGGGATGGAACGGGGGGTGGATGTGGAGGGTGATCTTCGGCTCCTTCCTCCACCCTCCATTCCTCCCCTGATCGAGCCTATTGCTTGGCAGCTCGGAGCCACCAGAGTGGGGCAGGCCGCTGTCATTCGAGGACGAGGAGGCCATCCTCAGCGACGGTCCCCGGGCGGATGCGGAACGGCAGCAGCCTCCCCCTTTCCCCCGTTTCTTTTCCTCGTCATCTGTGTGGCCGTGGAGGAGGAGAAGACTCGCAGAAAGAGGCGAGGGGGAGAAGGAGACTGGAGCAGGAGGAGGAGAAGGAGAAGAAGGAAGGAGAAGAAGGAAGGAGGAGGAGGGAGGAGGAGGAGAAGGAGAAGAAGGAAGGAGGAGGAGGAGGAGGAGGAGGAGAAGGAGGAGGACACGTCCAGGGTCGCGGCTCCCGCTGTGGACTGGGAGGAGGAGGAGAAGGAAGAGGAGGAGGAGGAGGAGGCGAAAGGAGGAGGAAAAAGATGGGCCGAGCTTCGCCTGCCCCACCAGTCCCTGCGCCGGTGTTCCATCTTGTATGTGCGTTGGTGCAGAGAAGACCACAACCCAGTGGTCCAGGTTTCCTTGCGCACCGCCGTGGCCAGACATCTCGTGCCGCCCCGCTGCACGGCGCCGAGATGGCAAGCTCGCCGTAACGGCGGAAGTAGTTTTTGCGTGGACGACCAACCTGCTCCAGGAGGACTAGGGTAGTGTAGCCTCCAGTGCTTGGCCTCGCTTGGACTTGTGCACGTTTCCCGGCGAGAACCATCGGGGAGCAGCCTGGATCACTTGGCAAAAAAAGCTCGCACAAAACAAAAAAATGCACAGGGAATGGACGTCCGAGCGATGGCCAGAGCAAGGAGGCCCACCACCATCCGAGCCTGGTGTTCTTCTTGCTACTCCCGCTTCCGTTGCGTGCCTCTGCACGCCGCTCTTGTCGGGGCACCACGCCCTGCCATGCAGCGCATGCTATAAAACCCCAGTTGCCTGACTTAAGCAGTCCGCCGCCCCAATTGTTTGCCAGACAGCAGGAAGAGGAGGAGGAGGAGGAGGAGGAGGAGGAGGAAGAGGAAGCGGACGAGGAAATGGAGATGCCAGAGGCGGTGACCCCCGCAGCCAGCGCCGCCAGCCAAGAGCTGGTCGCGGGAGGAGGTGGAGGGAAGAGATGCCTGGGCGAATTCACCCGCACTTGACCAACATCACGCGCAGCCTTCTCCAGGGAGTTGCGCGATAGCGCGAAGATCGTCGCGCTTCACGCGGCGCGGAGTGCGAGCTTGGGTGGCTGGGGCCACCCACCCGAGAAATTCTGATCTGTTTGTCGCGCTGAGCCGGCGGACACAAGAACGCACAACCCACACGCAGGAAGTCTTGGAGCTGCCTCGTGGTGACACACACACACACACACACACACACACACACACACACACGCCCCTCCCCCAAACGGGTCGGCCCCGTGCGGTTTGGGGTGGGCGAAGCGCGCCAGGCCACGCGTTTCGAGCCCGCCTTCCCCTCCTCCCGCACGTCTTGCCGCCCCTTTACCCCTGGAAGGGGGAGGAGAACGAGGAGGTGAGAGAGCGAGCGAGCAGAAGCCGAGAGAGGCGGTTGGGCCAGAGGCCGCCATAGCGGCCCGCGTGGATCGACGGCTTCGCACAGAAGCTCCCCCGCCAGCCCTGCCACAGAGGGGGCCAGAGGTCGTCCCTGTATGCTGGGCCCCGCACGGGAGGGGCGACGAGGAGGGGAGAACGGGAGAGGAGGAGGGCAAGCCGGGTGCGCTCGCGCGCGTCATCTCCGACGTCTTGCCCCTCCCTCCCATCCCTTACCGTGGCGTAGTTGTCCTCCCTGTTCGTACAGTCGGATGCCGAGCAGGGCAAGGATCGCGAGAGGGTACGCGATGCATGGCAGAGCACTGCATGGCATGGCGTAGACGAGCACGGCAGAGCGTAGCATGCCATGGCATTGGGTGAAGGAGGAGGAGGAGCCTGCTCCCGTCTACTCCCCAGACTCCCGACCTCGTGCTTAGTCACGGCGTGGGCCCCCCGGAGATGTCGGCCATTCCCTTCTTTCGGGAGCCTTGAGACGGGGGTCAATGCAAACGGGGGTCAGCCACGGCGCCGGATCCTGCAGGATCCTGCGAAGACCCCTTCTGGCTGACCCGGGTTAGGGAGCCGTTCGTGGCCGCGAGGCGGCCGCGCCTATTGGCTGACCCGGGTTTGCGAGGACCTGCGTTGCAGTTTGTTTTTCCTGCATTGCAGTTTTTGGTTTCCTGCTGACCCGGGTCTGGATTGACCCGGGTTAGAAGATCCCCGACTATAGGACCAGTCTCTCGTCCCAGCTCCGGATGGCGCCGCGGGCAAGTGAGGGGCCCCAGGGGCCGGCAGTGCTAGAGTCGGAAGCAGGGCGAAGGCTGGCAAATCCGTGGCTGTTATAAGACGGTCTTCCCAGGAGGAACAAAGAACAGGTCCGGGAACAAAGCCCGGTGCTTTAAATAGTAAACGGGTTGCTTCCCGGAAGAATAAAACAAATTCCCGGAGCTTCGTCTCAGCAGCCATGGGTTTGCCAGCCTTGGCCTGGCTTCTGACAGAAGCCTGGCAACCGTCCGTCCTGACCTTCTTACGATGCGAGAAGGTGTGCGAGTCGAGGGAGGCGGCAAATGCGCCCAAAGCCTGCCCCCTAGACCCCATCAATGATCGACGGCCAGTTGTTCATCCCGGATCGATGTTCGACGGCCCCATGGGCCGAGAAAGGGGAAAGATTTTGCGCGTGCGCGTGTGCGTGCCCTTGCGTGGGTGTGCTTGGGTGCGCGTGTGTGCGCGTTGTCTTGTTTTTGTCCTGCTCTCTCGGCGTCTCTTCCGCTCCGTTCCACCCGCGTTTCGTTCGCCCTGCCCTGCACCGCCTCGTTGTTCGACCCCGGGTCGCCACTGCGCGCAATTGGTAGCACTTCCTGCTTACGCTACTTCGTAAGGAATTTAAAAATATCCCAGCGCGTCCCGTAGCATAGTCCGTTGAGAGAAAAGTATGTGTGAATGTGCCGGTTTCTTCGTGTTCAGCCGTGGCGCTGCTTCGACGATGAAGGCAGCGCCGCTGGCGACTGACGTCACGACCGCTGCCGCGCCAATGTTGCCTCGCGCCTCCCATGATTGAGCGCTGCCGTTGTTCACTCACCGCGAGCCCTTCGCCACGCCTCGGTTGTGTTTCCCGCACGCAACTGCCACGCCCAGTCCACCCATCTGAACGGCGGAGAAAAGCGGGGCCGTCTGCGCCGACACTGGCGCGTAAGCTGCCCGCGTAAGGTCGCTATGTTATGTCGCGTAGGACCCTTCTCTTTTCGTCGCGCATCTGCTGCGCCATTCGCCCGAGCGCGCGCCCCAGTTCGGCACCTCGCGAGGGTGCCGCCACCCCGCCGCGGGAGGGAAGAGGGGTGTGCGAGTGTGCGCGGCTCCTCGTTGCCTCCCCCTTCCCGCGGCCGTGGGGCGTCTGCGGCCCGCCGCGGCCACACTCGGCCGCTGGAAGGGGGGGGGGGGGGAACACGGGAGCGCGAGGGCTGGCGCGGGCGGGCGGGCGCAGGTTTTCGAGGAGTGATGGGCCTGTTGTCCTCCACCGCCACCATCAGCTGGAGGGGGGAAGGAGGTGGAGGAACGAGGAGGAGGAACGAGAAGGAGGAACCAGGGGGAGGAACCAGGAGGAGGAAGAGGAGGAGGAGGAGGAGGACCGAAGAGGAGAAGGAGGAGGAACGAGGAGGAGGAGGAACCTGGAGGTTGAGGAGGAGGAGGAGGAGGAGGAGGAGGAACGAGCAGGAGGAACGAGCAGGAACGAGGAGGACAAGGAGGAGGAGAAGGAGGAGGAGGAGGAACGAGCAGGAGAAGGGGGAACATAGAGGAGAAACGACGAGGAGGAGGAACGAGGAGGAACGAGGAGGAGGAGGAACAAGGAGGGGGAGGAGGAGGAGGAACGAGGAGGACCCCCTCCCCCTCCGCTTGCGGTGGTGGCGGTGGGCGGCGAGCCCACCAGGGAGTGCCCCTCCTCCGCCCGGGCCGCGGCCGCGGGCCCGCCCTCGGGCAGGCGGCTCGCCGCGCGCGCGCCGCGGGGGGGGGGCGGGCTGCGCATACGCATAGCACGGGCGCGGAGGGCCGGCGGCGTAAGGTCGCGAGCTGGCGCGGCGGAGAGGCTCCCACGCAGGGTGGCGCTGTGATGGGACTGCTTCCCACCACCACCACCACCATCAGTTGGAGAGGGGAAGGAGGACGAGGACGAGGACGAGGAGAAAAGGACGAGGAGGAGGAGGAGAACACCCTCCCCCTCCAACTTCCTGGTGGTGGTAGTGGAGAACAGGGTGGCGCCAGGGGTCTCGAGCAGTGGCGAAGCGTCCTGGCGTGCCCATCGGCCTACCAAACAATGTTCTAAGAGCCTTGTGTCGTTGAAGGAGCGGGCGCGGCCGAGCCTCCCGCGGCCGTTGAAGGAGCTGCTGCGCTCAGAGTGCTCCAAGTTTCGCCTCCGGTGCACTTCGCGCGCGGGTTTTCAGGGTTGGATTTCTTGCGAGGGTTTCTTGCGGCCGCGCTCGCACTGTACCCATCGGTCGTTGAGAGTAGGGATTTCTGGGGTCCCAGATCCCAAGCTACTTGAAGCGCCTTCCTATTTCAATCATCGAGTGGCTTCACCTCTTCCGTTCTCCTAAGAGGGCGGACGGAACCCACTCTATTTTCAACGCCTTCCTACTTCATGTTTCTACCTACTTCTTCCGACCGATGGGTAACTTTCGACGCTCCACTTGGATTTCTCGGATCGGCGCTGGGGCCCCCTGGCGGAATTACTGGCGCCGCCCCTGGCGCGCTTCGCGCGCCAGGGAGGAGGGTCAGCGCAGATCCAAGAAATCCGCGCGACCGTCGAAAGTTTGTGCTCATGCTGTTTTCCTTCCTCTAAGGAGGGTGGGGGGAGAGAATGAGAAGAAGCAGGGCGAGCCCCTCAGGTGCGCCATGGAGGAAGGGCGACAGCAGCAGCAGCAGCAATCATTCTGATACGATTCGCTCTGATCTGCTCGCGTGTCACTCAACATGTATGTCCTGTCCCAAACCCTCGGTACCCACCCTCTTCGTCTTCGATCGTACCCCCCTTCGGGGTACATCTTCCTTACCCGCCACGTGTAAGTGGCGCAGCCCCTAAAGCCGGGGAAGGGAGGGAGGAAGGAAGGGACAAAGAGAGGGAGAAAGATGGACAACGAGAGAGATTCGCAGGAGGGGGCTCAGGAGCAGAAACCAGGGTGCGGGGCCCACGAGGAGCACTTCAATTGAAAAAACAATGGGCACCTCGCAGAGGGGGGTCAACAATAATTGTTCTTTAGACGTGAGAGCTCAATCATCTTAAGACTGTCTGCTCTTCGGTGCCCGCGTGTCGCTAAACATGTACACCCCGAGCCCTCCATGCCTGCCCTTTTCGTCTCTGATCGTGTGCCCTTTGGGGGGTATCTCCCTTCTCTGCCACGCGTAGCTGACACAAGGAAGCATAAACATCTGGAACATTCTAAGAGCAAGGGAACAGGGAGTGGAAAAAAGGAGGGCGGAGGGAAGGGGGCAAGGGGGAGGGAGGGAGATGATGGAGGGGACTTAGTAAAAGGGATCAGCCAGAGGGGATGGCAAGGAAGTCTCAGGCGGGAGCGCGGTGCCTGAATACTTTGGGACGAAGTCCCGAGCGAGAGCGCGAGTCCAGATCGCCGAGAGAGCGATCCGCGAACAAACCGTAAGGAACTGTCATGCGAGAGCGCGATCCTTGCATAAAGCGATAGGAAGGAAGACTTTTGCGAAATCGGGATTTCTCAATCAGGCGTGAGGACGTATCAGGCGGGAACCGCTGTTGCTGCCAACCGAGGTCCAGCCAGCCAGGCTGACGCGCCAGCCTTGCCCTTGCGCAAACCAGGGTGCGAGCCCCGGGAGGGGCACACCGTCTCGAAGAACACGACAAGGGGCACCGGGGGAGGGACCGAGCACCACTGTACCCCAGAAGCGAGAGCCAGGACGGAGCAGATCCAGGAGACAACTAAAAGCGAACAAGCAATCAGAACCCACAAAGCGATCGTTGCCTTGTGCATTGTTTTGCCGATCCACCCGGGCCCTCGCACTTCCCCCCGCCCCCCCCGATGGAGTAGATCTTGGCCGTCTTGGGCGCCTGTCTCGAGCAGGTGGGGCCTCCCCCATGGGACACGCGGTTGCAGACAGCCGCACTGAGCCAGAGGTCCGGAGCCAGACCACCCCACCCCCCTCCCCCCCTTTCCGCCCAATTCGGGACCTCGCAGAAGAGAGGGGGTGCCACAGCGAGGGGGGGGAGTTTGGTCCGTTGGCGCATCGAACCGCAGAAAAACTATGCAAAACGAGTTCTCGGCCGCCGCCGGAACCCGAGAGGTGTCGACAATCGGGGCGCGCGGGGGGCATCGCTCTTTCGGAAACTCGATGCAGCAGCGGATCGAACTCCCCCCCCCTCAGGTTCCCCCCCCCCGTTGGTGGACCCCGCCCAGTGTCGAAACGCCGAAGAAGAAAACTCCGACCAATGAGCCACAAGAGTTGTGGAAGTCGATTAATGGAGAGGAAGCATGTTGCCAAATAATTTCCAGATATCTAAAAGAAGTATCACATCTGTTTTTAGATATGTGAAAACATGTTTGAAACATGTTTTGAGCATGTTTTACACATTTTTAAACACATCGTTAATTCAATGATAGGATTGTTGGAGTGTCCATTACCATGGCATCCACAACACAAGAGGCCCGGCCGCCCGCGGCCGCCCTCCGACCCGCCCGGGCCGAGGTCTGCGGACGCTCCTCGGCTGCGTGCGCGACGAGCCCGCCACTCGGGGGGGGGCCTTCGGGCGCGTTCGCCGCCGCGCTTGGCGGGGGCGCTGCGGGGAGGAGGGGGTGCCCAGGCCTCTGCCCTGGGTTTATGATGCTCCAACCGACTTTGGCCTCGATCACCAGAGAGAATTTCGAGCACCAGAGAAAAGTGCCGAAACTCGAGGGTTTCCACGTGTCGGGCCCTGGGAGGCACTCGTCCGACACTGTTTCGATACTCTTTCGACACGTTTCCGGGTGCTCGAAATCATTTCTGGGATGTGCTCCTTAAGTACGACGGGAACAACGTAACCCTGGGTTTCTTCACAAGCGCGGGGGGGGTATCCCCCAACAGGGGTCAACCTCGCCTCGTCGTCGCACCGCGACGGGGGTCGGAGCGCCTTGGGCGCGCGGTGGCGGGGGTCGATGTGGGGCTGTCGGCGGGGGTGACACGCCCCCGATGCTTATCAAGAAACTCGGAGAACGCTTTCCTCGTTTTTCAGGCGATCGCAAACATGGATCAAGGGGGGCGTGGATTAGCGACGGGTCCCGTTTCCATTGGAAATCGCGGATTTCCGCCGCCGAACGAGGCGGCACTTGCCGCATTTTGGGGAGGGCACCTCCTCCGATCCATGGATTTGGCGACCGTGCGCCAAATCCATGGATCTCGTTAATCCATGTTTGCGCGCCCCCGAGTTTTCCCCTTTTTGGACCTCCACGGAGGCCCTCGTCGTCACCGTTGGATTCGCCTCGCAGTTCTGGTCAGAACGCACCCGGGAGAGGTCTGGGGAGCAGCGGTATCGGTGCTTTTTGGTCTCTCCGGACGCACCCAGGGCGGGAGCCGGGCAGAGGGACGAATGCGGGGAAGGAATCGGAGGGAGGAGGGGAGGAGGGGGAGGAGGACATTGGCGGCAAGATCGCGGCTGAGGAGGAAAGGCGCTCCGGCTCACCGGTGCTTTCCCGCCGAGGCTCAGTGGGGCGCGGCCGGCGCAGGAAGAAGAGGACGGCGAGGAGGGCCAGAGTAAATTGGGGCCATACGAAAGGGGGGAATTGGGAAGGGGGGTTACGAAATTTGCTGCATGCAGCTGGTGACGGCCCCACCGAGGGCCCACTCCTCGATACATGGCCGCCTCCCGGCGGCGGGAGGCGCCGGGAAAATCAGCTACGTGAGCCGATTATCGCATTGCCATCCCTCCCTGCGCTCAAATGGCTTTTCCCCTTGCGCCAGTCTGCTGCTCCCCCCCCTTTCGCCCGGCCCGATAAAACTAGGGAGTGGAGGGAGGAGGGGGTGGGTCACGAGGACGCCGGCGGGGTCCAAGACGTGCCTCCCAGTTCTCTCCCGAGGGGTTTTCGGGCCTCGACTGGTGTCATTTGGGCAGCGACGTTGGCTGCACCAGCCTGGTCGGTGCACACCCCGTTGTGCGTGGGTGGTTCCGTTGGGGGCGCGCGGAGCTGGCGGGGTTTCGGGAGAGACCTCGATGCTGCACGGAAAGAACTGCGCCCTTTTTAGAAGCCCCCCCCCGCATTCGTGGAAGGCGTCCCCCCCCCTCAGGGGGGGAAACGGCGGCGCGCCCGGGGGGGAGGGTGAGAAGGAGCAGACCCTCTCAGAGAGCGGTTGGCTCAGGAGCCATCTGGCCTTCTGAGAAGTTTGTTGTGTCTACGGAAAGGCCTCTGAAAACGTTTCGGGAGGCCCGGGACCTTCCGAGCCTTCGGAGAAGGTGCACCTGGCAGACGGAGCTTTTGGCTGTCGGCCCACTCCCCCCCCAGTCCGCTTCGATCCGATCGATCCGATCCGGTATCGACTCCGACCAGCCCGATCCGATTCGATCCCGATGTTCCGATGCGCGTCACGATTCGATGTTGACTGGTCATGACCCATCATTCGGTATCGTCGGAGCCATCCCACAACTGATGTCAGGGCAGGGCGCCACCCTCCCAGTGCACCCCCTCTAGCTGGGGATGGTATGCCAGCTAAGGGGGCTCAGAAATCCGCGGTGTGGGTGGGATTGGTTTTCCCACCCTCCGCTGGGTTCTTGTTTGGAACAGACCACCGCGGTCTCCACTTCCTCTTCCTCGCGCCTCCCTCGTGCTTTCTCCTACCTCCGGCCTGCCTCATAATTCTCATGCGGTTCCAAAAGGGACCCCAGGGTGCAAGGGACAGTGATTCTTGAAACGGGCGATGCCGATGTCTCAAGTCCGCTCGGCTTCGCCCACAAAGTTGCCGCATTGCGATGTTTCACTCGCGTTCGTCGAGGTCGCAAAGTCAACGCCGCAGTCTCAGAAGTCCCTTTCGCTGACGTCCCTTTTTGGGAAACGTATCCGATTCCTGCCTCCGTCCTGCCTGCCTCCTGCCTCGCCATCCTCGAGGGGCTGCGAAGTCGGAGACGGCCGCCGCGCTCGAGACTTGTGTGGGGTGGGGTCCCGCGGTGCCCCACGCCGATCCGTGGCGGGGCCTCGGTCACCCACTCGGGCCGGCAGCTGCGCAGCTGCCGCCCCTCCCGTGGGCTCTTGCAGTGAGGGCCCATGCCAATAGACGCCCTGCTTGCCTCGTGAGTGCACTGGGTTCCCTGGGTTTCGATGGCGCTGCTGTGGAAAGCTTGACGTTCCCACACCAAAAACCCATGGACGTCCTGGGGTCTCAGGGTTGGATTTCTTGTGGGAGGTTTCTCGTGGTCGGACCCCTACTGTATGGAGGAGGTCCGAGGTCCCGCGGCGTGGTACCCCACGCGGAGCCGGGCGGGGGACGGCGGCCTCCTATCGGGCATTGCCACCTGCGCAGCTGTCGCCACCTCTGATGGGCCAATGTGCCACCACCACTACCATAGGTAGGACGGCTCCTCTTC